ATCCTCTTTTTTTTTTTTGGTCGATTGCTATCATCTGTTGGGGGCTATTTTTGTGTGTTCGTGTGTGTGGGGAGGGAGGGGTGGCGTGGGGTGGTGATGCATTTGCTCGACGACAGGATTGGGGCGAGATTGGAGAGAATTTAGTTGATTTAGAGTTTTTTTTTTCCTTTTTTTTTTTATCATTTTTGGGTCTGGGTAGATGTGTGTGGGTGCAAGGGTGGTGCGCTGGTAGGGGTGGTGTGGTGGCTGGGTCTGGTAGGGGGGTTGTGGTGGCGGGGATGGCCGTTTTGTTGTTGTGCGAAGCTGGGAAGTGATTCTGGGGGTGGGGTCTGCTGGCCGGGTTGTTTTGGTTTTGGGTTTTTTTTTTTTTTTTTTTGGTCTTATTAATTTTTTCCAATTTTCAGTGTGCATTTTATTTTCGTTAGTGTTTTTGGTTGCTTGTCTATCTATATCTGTTGTTGTTCTTGGTTCTTTATGCTTGATATAATGTCATTGGTGATAGGAGGTGTGTGTTCTTTTTGGTGGACATCATTTGTCCATAATCTAAGAGCAAGAATGAAGTTTACTCATAATTCTTTATACTTTACTCTTGTGTTGAAATGTGGGCAATGATATGTTAAGGGGTTTGCTCTGTGTAGTTCAGGTTATTGTATAATTTGTTGGTAATAATATTATTTCATTCATTTGGTTTACAGAATAAAAATTAGTGGTAATAAAAATTAGTTTTCAATATAAATAAAGTAGAGAAGATTGCAAATTTTATTCAAAAAATTGCACTGTATGTGGTAATGAATTTATTTTATAATTAAAGTATATTGTGTAATTATCATTTGAATGTGGTTGTTGTGCTTGTTGATGTGTTTTGTTGTAGGGTGGTCAATATAGGTGTGTAATGTGCGTTGATGGGTGCATTCGACAGTTTCAATGTGTGCATAATCCTTCTCTTTATTTTGTGTGGCTTTTTTTGAATTGTGAATGCAAGTTTTATCTGTAAGTTGCTATGTACAGGTGTAATTATTTATGAGTATTTTTTTGCATATTAATTTCATGTTTTTGGGTTATTTTGTTTTTTTAGCAGTTGAGTTCGTCATTTTCCTTTCTCCCTAGTTTTTTTTTTTTTGTTTTTTTTTTTTTCAAGTTCTGTTCTTTAGTTTGGTTGGTGGGGTTGGGTTAGGTGTTGGGTGTTTTTGGTAAGCTATTGGCTTCCATCTTTGGGCTATTATATATTTGCTTGAAATAGGTTTGTCATAACTGGTTTTTGTGATTGTTAGTGCGTTAGTTTGTTTCTTTTGGTTTTGGTGTTGTAGGTTTGGTAGTTTCCATGGTATTAGAATTTTGATGTATGAGTTTGTGGTGTTAAATATTTCTGCTCATCTTTGGACGTTAGTAGGTGCTGTGTGCATAGTTGGGGTAGCAGTGTGTGCAGTCCAGTTGGAGCAGTATGTGCTCTCGTGCTGAGTATGTTAATGTGTTGTTAGCATAGTTGTGCATTAGTGTGTGCACTTTTGTCTATAATGTTCAATGTTGGGTTAACTTTTATTATTGGTCGTGTTCTGTGTTTTCTTAGGTTTGAATTATCTGTGTGCATGGTGAGATTTAAGTGTGTGCAGCCGTGTCGTATAGTGTACATTGGGTTTTTTTTTTTGTTGGGTATGTGCACTCTAGCTCGGTGTGTGGTTTAGCTGTGTGCATGGATGGGTACAAGTGTTGTATTTGTTTCAGCTAAGAAGTCTAATGTTTCACAGAGTGATCCTGGTGCCTCACAGAGCTGTGTTAGCGATGAAGACTTTGTCTCACTACCTTTGGGGCCTTTCTTGCTAGGCTGCAAGAAGACTCGATGTGGAATGCCCCCGATGGTGAGTTGACTGCAAAAGATGATACATCGATTCCTAGGGTCAAGACTAGATCGCTGGCTTCCATTTTGGTTGTGGCGCTTAGAGACTTGTCATCCCAGCAGAAGAATGACATTAGAGATGTTGGTTTTTTGCACGATATTTATTTCGTAATAATTACATTTATTTTTGTACAATAATATAATCTTCTTCTTTACATTTCTTTGGTCTCTAGTATTTGTGTAACCATGTGCAAAAATGTATGGTTCATCTATTTCATTTTTTTAGGTTTGCACTAGTTGTTACTCAGTGGTGCCCACTAGTTTAAATTGTGTCTACCCGTGTGCACATCAGCACGCAACTGTATGCATTGTGTTCTTTAATATTTTTTTTCCACAGCCGCTTAGATTTCAAGGCCTGCACACATTTGTATCGGTGCATGCTTCCCTCTGGCTATCCACACATTACTAAATTTATCATATGTCAAGTACAATGCTACTACCATTTTTCTTTATATCTTTAGTACAACTCTACAAATAATTATATCTTCTGGTTTTGAATGAGTTTTAATTAAAAAAAAAAAAAAAAAAGTGTGGACTTATTACCCCCGTAATCATGTGTGTGCACATACGTCCATTTATTTGTGCATTACGGCCCAAGATTATACTTTCCTGCGTGCAGACTAAATTGCAAAGGATAAAGTGTACCCTTAAATGTATTCAATAATACGTCATTTCAATAAAGAAACATTTTATTGTCTATTTATTACGCAATCTAACTAATTTCAAATCTTTTTTTATTATTATTTAAATAACGACTATCTAGTTTTTTTATGGTGCTCTTTTCTCTAGATAATTGAGGCTGTCATGGTGGCCTTCTCGGTTACATGTATGACACTTTCGTGGTCCTCTCATGCTCTTATCTACTGCGTTTTCTTTGGAGCTTTTCTACTGTTTGCCACTTCCTTTGTTTTTGCGCACTGGCTGTATTTCATGGATCACATATGTATTAGTGCACACACCTAATAACCACTATGCACACACTAAACCACATTATAATCTTTAACGTACAAAAAGTTTATACTATTAAAATTAAACTTTAAACAATAAACACACATTTTTGTCTGGTATGCTGCATAAAAAGACATTGCATCTCCCAAGCATGCATAATTTTTCCTTCCGAGCGCGTCCGCCCAAAATATGTGGCATAATTTTTTTATCTTCATTGAGGCTGAAACCAAAGTAGTAGTATGGATTAATCTTTTTTTTTTTCTTGAACATGTTTTCACCCACCATTTGTGCATCTTCTCTTGAGATATATGCCAATAGATCCCTTTTGCCACCCCCTTTGTTTTTGCGCATTGGCTGTATTTCATGGATCACATATGTATTAGTGCACACACTTAATATTCACTATGCACACACATAATCGCATTATAATCTTTAACGCACAAATAATAAACACACATGTTTGTCCGGTATGTTGCATCAAAAGATCTTGCATCTCCAAGCACACATACATATTTATTCGTGAATGCACACATAAAGCACTCCGATTGACCCCCGTTTGTTTTTTGTATAACAGTTATACATGCACATAGATCCTAAAATTGGTGCACGCAGTTTTTCAAGAGGTTTGTTGTGTGCATTCCAGCGCCTATGTGTGTGCACGTTATGTCCCAGAATTGCACCTAGTCATGTTCACACCCAAATTCCAGATTCCCCTTCACATGTGTGCAGTCGTAACCCCACAACCATTCGACCCTCAATACTAGACATATTGTGTACATTAAGCCACTCGTAATCAAATTCTAAACCTTTCTTTATCTTTTCTGTTTTGGTATTCCTTTAATACTTTACATGCACTGCTTTACAAATAACAAAATCGTGAACTAATTAAATCACAGATTGAATGGTGACAATCGCTCAGAACTGCTTACCTTTGCTGCCGTATCCATCTTCTTTTCTTGCGCTTCTTGATGGTTATGTCGGAGTGGTGGTTTTCTGCCAGAGGAATTACAATCTCATATTGGAATCCTTCCTAAATTAAAAGACTAGTAATCCTTTTTTATTTTGTATTCTAATATTATCCATATTTACGTTTGCATGCATTTCCTTAATTACCCCCTTTTTAAATTTAGATCTTAACTATTCCATGCCAATTCTCTAAATCTGTGCCGTCCAAACACTCTAATTCTATGGCTAGATTTTGTTTTCATGTTTGTATTTTAAGAGTGTTTGCATGTGAATACAACCCTCTATATATATATATATATATATATATATATATATATATATCGTGCGCACATGAGAACTGTGGACAAATCGTAGCCATAAAAAATAAGTAATCAACAGCTAGATTTTAGCAAATCTGTCCGTGAAATTCCAAAATTCCTTCAAAATAGGTAAGGTAGCTAAGAAATAGGAATTTGTATATTATTAAAACCATTTCATTTAAATAATAAATTATTATATATAAGAAATTTTAATTATTTTGTCAATGTCCCCTGCTTTAATTTAGTGAGACAAAAACATGTGGAGCAAGATGTACCATGCTTTTAGCAAATATGTGCACTCATGCACAACATTGTTTGAGTGCCCATTAAGTCTATTTTTCTGGAACACCTAAATGTATTGGGTCTAAATTAAAGGGTCTCAACTAGCCCATTAAGTCTTCCTAAAAGATTTATAACTTTATCATGTTTCTAGTTCTATAATTAATAGTTTGTCGTATGAGGGTTTTTTTTTTTTTTTTTTTTTTTTTTTTTTTTTTTGCATAATCTACAAAGGTATCAGTGTCAACATACTCTAGACAAATTTTTTTATAGAACTTGATTCATTCAATTGTGTGAACTATAAATAAAAATTACACTTTACTATATTATAAAAAACATTATTTATGTATTGATAATATACAAAATATATAATGTACTTTTCGTATTTAAATACTGGTCCATTGCATACTTTATTTCCCTGCACTCGATCACTAGTACTCTCTTACGTGCTAACCTCTTCACTTTTCTGTTTTGAATACCAAACACATTGGCAACGCATTCTTTCAATTCACTACTATTGCCGCATATACACGTATTCATTCTCACACGCAGGTTACAAAGCATATAAAACCATACACTAAGAAAATCAACAAGCTAAGTCTGTATATATAAATCCCAAAACTCTAAAGAAATTATATCAAACCAGCCACCAAAATTCCCTCTTTATTATATGGCTTCCTCAACCAGTACTAAACCATATGGTAAGCAAGTTTTATAGTTTTCCAGAAAATTATCGTGTGGACCATGGTTCTCAACTTTGTGAACTATGGTGCAGAACGACGTCGTTGAATTTTATGAGTTAGAATAATGTATTTTATGTGTTAGAATAATGAAACTTCTGAGTAAGATAATGTATTTTATGAATTAGAATAATGTATATTATGTTTTGAAATAATGTACATTATGCTTTTAAATAATGTACATTATGAGTTATAAAAATGTATGTTTCAGTAGGTTACGTGGAAAAAAAATTGTGAGAAACAACGTCGTTTTTGGACCGTGGTCCATCCATGCAATAACTATTGTATTTTTCCTATTCCCATTAATCCTTTATTCTGATTACTGATTGGGATATACTCAAGAATGAGAATGGAATATACTATAATGCAGGAAAGGGAATGGAAAAAGATGATGAGACAACCCCTTTGAAAAAGCATGTCATGTTCTTTGATTCCAACCAGGATGGCATCATTTATCCTTGGGAAACATTTCAAGGTTGTTTTCACTTGTTCTCTTTTTTATTTTTTTCTTTTCATTTTGTGTTTTAACATTTAATTCGATGATTTAGGTTTTCGGAAAATTGGCGGTGGATTTTTTTTATCTGTTGCTCTTTCCACTTTCATTCATATTGTCCTCAGTTCCAAATCTCGACCAGTAAGTTTATCTCTTTCTTTAGATATACATACATATATTATATATAGAGACGAAAGTTTTAATTTGACAATACTATACAACACTCACAAAGATATACACAATTATATTCGGACATAATTACATTTTACTTCTATACAATAAAATTTTATGCCAGGTTATAAAGTATCCTGAGCAGACCCTAATTGTAGGAGACACCTTAAACCCTTATGATCATACTCAGACTAATTCTCGTTCGTACCGGACTGACCTAATTAAGCGGCAAATTAAAGTGCTGGCCACAACAAAATATAATACGTGCATATTTTTATACTCAATACTTTTAACACTACTTATATTGACAATACTTAATACAATTATATATATATATATATATATATATATATATATATATATATATATATATATATATATATATAAGGTACTATCAAAACATTAGAAAAAACTAGAATTTGAAAGAATTGGTATAGCTAAATTGACATTGTAATACACACACACTAGTGTAAGGGATGTGAGATGTGTGAAAATTTGTGCCTATTAATAAAATACGAGGTTGTAATCATGTTAAAATTATATCAATTTTTTAATTCAAATTGTCTTTTGCAATTTTTTGAAGTGGTAAATTCCAGTTACCGAATTTTAACAATATTGAGAAAAGAAAATATTTATACTATTGTATAATAATAATGTAACTTATTTTCATAAATTTTATATTTTTTTTATGAATACTCCTTCCATCTACTTTTATGTGTCTAATTCAGTTACCGAGATTTTATTAGAGTTATTTTTAATTTAATTTTTCATAATATTAAGTTGAGTATTAGTATATAAAATTTATATATTTATAAATTACATTAAATGTACTATTAAAGGTAAATTTTAAAATTAAAAATAATTTAAAATACTAACAAAATTAAGCAAAGAAAAATAGTTTATTTGACCAATTAATTGCAAACAGGCGAGTAAAATGAGACAAAAAGAGCAACTAACAAATCTTTACTAATTCAAAATGTAAATTAAATCAAATTTATTTATCCTATAATTCTAATCTAATGTCTACATGTATTATTAGCATTGAAAAATATAATAAAAGATATGATGAATACATGTGCATGATAATAGTAATGGAAAAGATAATAGAAGTTATAATAACGTGGATTGACTATTTTTATTCAAAAAATAATAATAATAAGCACGTTAGAACTCATATATATAGCATAATGTACAAAAAATAAATTAAAAAAAAAAAAAAAAAAAAAAAAAACTCAGAAAAATACACATAAATGAAAAGTATCAACCTTCACTCTTATTATACATATTTAAATTACCAAGGATCTTGCGGTGTAATGGTACCAAGTTGGACTTTCAAATGGGAGGTTATGGATTTAAGCACCAATGAAGACGTTATTGACTTTCTGTGCTTCACTATTAGAAAGAGTAAATAGTATTCAAAAAATATTTAAATTTGATATGGTGATATCGTCTGACAACAGATACTGGTGGAAAAATAGTTTTTTTATTTATTTTTTATTTTTTTTTATTTTCAAACTAGGGTAGTTTAAATATTTATTTTCTAAACTAAAGCATTTTTTGTGATGTCGTTTATCTTTTTATGTTGTCATTGCTACACCATACATTTCGCCATGTCATATCAGTGCCTTGTTGACCTCATCACTATATCAACCAACGACATAGTATCATTTTCATGTCATATTTCTTACAAAATAAATACCCTTCAAAAATATTATTAACAAGAATTTAACATTTGTTATTTAAATAATTTAAATATAACATTGTTAGTTTATACTTTTTATTTAATACTCCGTATTAACAACAATTATGTAGAACTTTTAAAATATAGACATCTTTCTAAAATAAAAATTATAAACTCTAACAACATGTTTGATTTCATATAATGTTGTCTAATAATCCTATATATAATTTAATTTTCTTACAAACCCACATATACCCGCACACAAACAATGAGCGTGGGTGCGCTGAGGAATTGGACCTATGCAGAGTAGAGGGACAAATTATTTTGTGGATCATGAATGAATGTTCATTTTAATATACTGAAGATACATTATTTATTTACTGAAGGTTCATTATTTGGTAGTATACCAAATAATGAATTTTCACAACTCAAATAATGTACCTTCAAAAAATATGAACATTTGGGGTGTTTGATTCACGGAATCCTGAATTAATCCAGGTAATAGGATTACCTCCAGGAAGGTTGTGTTTGGTTTGGATCGTGGAATATAATATTACCTTGTTTGGTTAATGGTTATAATTTAGATTATATGGATCAATTTACTAAATAATGTCCTCAATAATAATATATATATATATATATATATATATATATATATATATATATATATATATATATATATATATATATATATATATATATGTCTGTGTGTGTGTGTGTGTGTGTATATGTATGTATGTATGTATGTATGTATAATCCTTAAATATATAAAAATACATATATGTATATTTGATTATATAAACATATATATTTTTCATTATTATTATTATTATTATTATTATTAGTTAACAAGGGCAAAGCTGGAATAATTCAAGGTGATCTTAGATTATCTAAGAAAGTTGGGGTAATCACATTACCTTGAATCATTACCGCCACATCAGCTTTGAGATAATATAACATTACCAGGTAATCTAATAACTTGAACTAAACAAAGTAATATAACATTACTGTTAATCTAATAACTTGAACTAAACAAAGTAATATAACATTACCCGACTCAATTTACCTAGGTAATGATTACATAGGTAATCTAAGATTATCTTAACCAAATGGGTAACACTTGTGTGAGACAGTCTCACGGGTTTCAACCCGTGAAACGGACCGAATCTTTGATTTATGGGTCAAATTTTAGATTAATGGGTCAAATTTTAGATTAATGGGTCGGATCATTGACTTTATCAATTAAAGATCCGACTCATCTCACGGATTGTGTCCCGTGAGACAGTCTCACACAAGTTTTTGTCAAACCAAATAAGGTGATTAGGGTGTATGATTATGTTCTCTTGAATATTGGCAGCAGATGCAAGCTTATGCTCTCTGAAGTAGAAATTAAAGGTGGAAGAGAATATGAATTTAGATTAGGCTAAGATAACATGACCAAACTGAGTACAAGAATGAGAGTCAACTGATCGATTTGATAACGGATGTCTTTAAACAAGAAGGAAACCTTCTCAAGGTCATTCTACGCTCTTAAAACACACAATGACATTCTCATGACTCATGGGTGTCTAAGAGACATTTTATCAAACATCTTGTTCTTGACATCTCATGCTCCCATTTTATCAAAGGTGAAGTATTGTTAATTAACCACTCAAGTCTAGATTAGATTATTACACCCAATCAAATTAAAACTCAATCATGTTAATTAACATCATCAAATCAAGTCTCATCATTCCTATTAAACCAATTCAAAGTCTCATCCCCTAAACCTAATCTTCATCCCTATCCCCTTCCTAAAGAGATTACTTGCACATAATGAACACAATGAAACAAGCTTAGATTCAAGAGTAAAAGAGAATTTCATATCAACACAAAGTAATGAATTGAAATTGGAATTGACTATCTAATTGAAATTGAACTTGGAACTGGAAAATAAAATCAATTTTCAATCTACATCAACACTTGCCAGAAATAGAAATTGAAACTATATTGATCGTTCCAGCAGATCGTGATCCACAGGTGACCGTTTAGTAGAGAGCGTTTTCGAATTCTCCATCCTCAGAAAAATAATTAATGAGTCCTTTTAAAAATATTAATCGACGATATGTTTCAATTGATTTGGGAAGAAGAAAATTAAAGCATTATAAATGTTTGAGAACATCAAAGATATTTTTTTTATAGGTGTCCTGACTCCTGAGCAGACCCTAACTATAGAAGGCATCTTTAAGCTCGTTACCATACTTAGACTAATTTCCGTTCGCATTAGATCGGCCCAATTAAAGGGCAAAGTGCTAGCCAAATATTATTTAGTTTATCGTAATATGATATCATATTATTTATAAGAAATTTATTTAACTATTATAGATTAATTATAAATGTACATAAACATTACTCGGGAATTATACTAGTTACATTTTATTTAAATACTAGTATTTGTCCAGTGCGATGCACGGAAAATATGTTATAAAAATATACCTTATATGAGGCTTATTCATATATAAAATTTTTGTTATTTAATAATTATTGTGTGAATTCCTATGATAAAATTATGAACATAAATATATTTATAATTAAAATAATATTTAAGGTGGGTGATTACTACAAATCTTAAACTATATTAAAAATTTAGTACATAGTATTTAATATTACAATTTTTTAAGAATTTAGTAAACTACAATAGTAATTGAATTACAATTTTAGAGTCACCACGGATCAAAATTTTTAGACCTTTGAGATTTCTAACTCTAGATGTAGCAACATACAATTGACCTTTAAAGACCAAAATCACAATCTTAGTTCGAACATTGATTTTTTCTTCCAAATACTATCGAATTAAGGGTGTAATCAATAAAAGATGAGAACTAATAATTCGAGAATATAATCTTAATGTTACTAAGCCTACTTCACGTCAATTAAGTTGGAGAGTGTTGTTGGATAGTATCCGATGAATCCACGAATAACGCATCTTTGTCTCCGTAGTCCTCAATATGCACATCAACAATCTTAAATATTAGGCCGCCTAGCTATGCCATATATTAATTTCAAACTTGTGAACTTTGGGGTTGCCTGCAATAAAAAGTATATTTTAAATATACTAAGGGTACATTATATATGTATGTAAGGTACTTTCAATATAAAAATAATGTATTTTTAATATATTAAAAATGTATTTGATATTCATGATCCATACAATTATGTGGACCATCGTTCACACAATAATTTGCCAGTAGAAATTGAAATATAAACAAACAAATAAATAAATAAATAAATATATATATATATATATATA